AATTATATTACTATAATACATAAAAAAGTTATACATAATAAATATAATTATTTACTTATAAAATTTTCTTTAATTATAATATATTACAAGTACATGGAAAAAAAGCATATAATATATATATATATATACTAATTTAAATATACATATATATCTACTGTAAATAAAAATAGTTTACATATTTGTTGTTTTCTTTATTTAGTACAGAAACTTATGTTAAATAGATAATTTTTTTTTAACATGTTATATAATCTAACATATCAAAACATAATGTCTCTTTCTCCTCTCTCTCTCTCTCCACACACACACACACACACACACATACATACATGTATAATTATTCGTCTGCATATACACCTCTTTGAACATAATCATGTTGCCATTCCACTTTTCCAGCTTCAGAGATAAAATAATTACTCAAAGTATTCCTTTGATTTTCGGCATATCTTACGTCATTATCTTCTTCAAAATTACTTGGTATATTGATCCAAGGTGAACTCTGAAAACATCAAAAAATATTAAAATTCAAAAAATTAAATAATTATTTTTATTTTTATTTGTACCTCGTTAGTATTATCTTTAAAACTTGGTTCTTGACTGTACATCTTATGTCCATTTTGTTGTTCTTCTTTCAATACATAATTATGGAGACACACAGAAGCTGTTACAATTAAATCTGCAGTTTCTGGTAACATACTAATCGCTGTGTGGAATATTCTCCACTTATTGGAAAAAATTCCAAAAGCACTTTCAACTGTCCTCCGTGCTCTTGAAAGTCGATAATTAAAAATCCTCTGTTTGTACATCAAATTTTTGCTGGAATAAGGCTTCATAATTCTCTTAGACAGTTTAAAAGCATCATCAGCCACAAAGTACGTGTATGTTTTCAGATTGCTATTAGGAAGATTTATTTGTTCATTCGGTAAATTTAACGTATTATTACTTAAATTTGTGCCTATATTGCAATCGTTAAAAATTCCTCCGTCACTGTTTCCTATAACAAAGAATTATACAAAAATAAATAATTGTAATAAAACAATATATATATGAGATTATTATATTATACATAAGATTAAGAAAATTTTTGTTCTTGCTTACCTCCATACGCTCCAATATCAACCAACACAAATCTATACAAATGATCAGCTACTGCCAATAATACGATACTATAAAATTTCTTATAGTTAAAATATAAGCTTCCTGATCTTGGAGGACAGCGTAATCTGACATGCTTGCCATCAACAGAACCGACACAATTTGGAATGTTCCATCTATTCCAATATCCATGTGCATATTTTCTCCAGTCTTCTTCTGTAGGTGAACTAAGATATAATGGGTCTAAAACCTTATATAAAACATGGCAAACTTCTTTTACTACTTCTCTTACTGTAGATTCACCAACTCTAAAGGCTAACGCAATGGTAATTGGTAAGTCACCTGTAGCAAGATATCTATAAAAATATAATAATTACAATACATTAATATTAACTATAATATGAAACAATTATATACAATTTAGTTATCTATAAAGTATATACAGTTATTATATAAATACCTTAAAGTTATCAATAGTCGTAATTCTGGAACTAAAGCACGAGGACTTTTTTTTGTCAAATATGGTTTTGTCATTTGTACTAACTTCTGAAAATGTACCAATGTCATTCTGGTATAACGATAAAACAACTGAGGATCATTTTTTATTTCTTGGAATAAATTATTGTAATCTCCAAGCTGAATTCTTCTCATATTAATAGGGCTCACAAGCCATCGTCTATTTAGCCATCTAATTTGTCTTTTTTTACGTATTAGCAAAAGACATAAGTTTATCCAATGTATTACCAGAATTAGAAATTCATCATCATTTTCTATTTTTATTACAAAGACTGTAAACTGTAACTATTATAATATATATTCTGAAACATTAATGTATAAAATTTATTAATTACTTATATCTTTTATTAACAATAATTTACAATTATAATAAATCATATTTAGTTCATAACTGTATTTTGCACTACAATATATATAATTAAAAATATTACTTTTCAAATATTTTTATGACAACATATAACAAAAAGAAAATATTGGTTAACCTCAAATACTATCATTGTATTTTGATCATTTGGTAAAGAAAAAGGCAAATAAATCGTTATTTTTGTAAATAAAGTATTTAAA